GCACACACAAAAAATTACCAGGCATGCAAGGAAGCAGAAAAACTTGACTCATAATCAGGAGAAACACAATCTGTAGCAAACAAACTATATAAAAAATACTGAATACAAAAGAACTCAGGAAAAAGGAGGAAAAGGAAGAATCAATGGGACAAATAGAAAATAAATAGTAAAATGGTAGATTTAAACTAAATCATACTAATAATTATATTAAACATAAGTGATTTAAATAGTCTAGTTCAGCGGTTCTCAACCTGTGGGGTCGCGACCCCTTTGGCGGTTGAACAACCCTTTCACGGGTCGCCTAGACCATCCTGCGTATCAGATATTTACATTACGATTCATAACAGTAGCAACATTACAGTTATGAAGTAGCAACGAAAATAATTGTATGGTTGGACCAGCAGTGCCTGGTGGGAAAGCACACGGCCAGCAGCACTGGTTCACCAGGAGCGCATTTCAGTCAGTACGTGTGGCCTTTTGCAAATTACTATCCTTTTCCAGTCTCTTATTTTCTCACCAGAAATCAGAGAAATTGGACAAGAAAAATCTCTTAAGATCCCCTTCTCTCATTCCATGATTTTATGAACGTGAGAAGTCCTCTTTATCCTGTGTTGCTACCTCTCTGCTTTGAATCTGCTACTCTGCATTTGCCGAAAGAGTACTTGGCATTGAACATAAACTGCCTTACAAGCATTACCGAATTGTTTCCTGTGTGGATGTCCCATCTCACAAATAACACGGACCATGATGTCTTCTGTGATGTTTGTCTCCTCCCAGTCCTGCGAGCAAACAGGCACTCGGCCTCACAAGTGTGGTCATTTTTTCTTCCGAGGGCATTTGACTTTCATATCGTGGTTCTTCCTTCACTTAATGAATCCGCTGTGCCTGGTCATTTAGGTTGTTTTGGGTTTTTCCCTGTTACAAACAATATTCTAATGAGAGTCTGTATATGTAAGTCCTTGCCCTCTCTTAGGAGTATGCTTTTGGGTTCATTCCTAGAGGCAGAATTAGTCTGTCAGAAAGTAGATATTTTGTTCTAATATCTATTGCCAAAACGGAAAGATAAAAGCAATTCTGGGTGCCAGTCCTTGTTATGTAGTAACCTTAGGATAAGTTACTTAACCTCTTTAAACTTTCATTCACACATTTGTAAATAAAGATAATTGTAGTGTTTTACCTCACGGGTGGTAGTTGGAACTGGTGTGTAGTAAACATTCACTAAGTGTTGGTTCCCTTCTTCCTTAGTCTGTAACATCCTTTATCCCTGGTTATAGAAATGTACCTGACCTTTTTCTTTTTCTTTTTTTCAGCTATGACTCAATCCCTGAGATAAAGGAAATCTGCTTTTGAAAAATAAGAACGTTTTTCCTTTGGTTGGATTTCTAACACGGCCAATGAAAACAAAGCTCTGTGTTTCTTTTCTCTGATGTATCAGCTGTTGTTCCCAGCAGAGTGGCAGACAATCCTGGACTTCCACCATAAGCAGAGTGACACGTAGACGTATTTGCTGCACAAGATGTTCACAAGCGAAAGTCATAAAGAGACAAAGTGGTATTGTTTACATTACTAGAACATTAGTAGTTTTCTAATGGCAATAACCCATTTATGAGAGAGTTTTAGTCCACTGGAACAGACAGGGACCACATACTGTGGCAGGCAGGTAAGCGTAGAGCTGGTAGTTGATGCACATTCTGTAGTGGTCGCCCACCCTTAACGGCATCGTAAAGTGGGTACCAGAGGTGCTTTGCTTTGGCCTCTTGAAACAAGTGGGAGTCAGCCCTCCAAGAGAGCCGGGCAGCCAGGGTGGCGGTGCGGTGCTCAGACCCTGTTCCTCAGTGGCACGGGGCGAGGCTCACTGTGTAGTCTGCCTGCACAAAGGCATTGGTTTGGAAGGAAGCTGATATGTCACAGGTCAAGTCCAAGTGACATTGTCCTTCCTTTTGGCGACACTATCCAATTTTCACATTTTAATGGCTCCTGAGATGCAGTATACTTACAGCCGGTCTCTCCCCCGCTAGCCACAGGGCGCATCTCCTGTGCTGTGAGCATTAGGACTTCTCCGCTAGAGTTCCGTGCTCCAGGTCATCTAACTTCCCTTCAGAAAACATCATAACGGTCACTCCAGTGTCCCCCTGTGGGACCTTGAGCAATGTTTATTGCTGGATTGTATGGTGTTTTTTTTTAAGAAGGTGAGAGGGCAGGGTCTGGGGGGAGGAAAAGCACTCACTTTTAATTGTCTCCTCTTTCTTTGCTCTGAGCTGGAAAGTATGCAGCGGGTGGCCTCCCTCCTGCCTGTCTCTAGGACAGTAAGAGACTGCCTCGCTGCACTTCTGCTCCGTTGGCTTCTGGGTCTGCTGTTGGGCTGCCGCATTGGCGAACGCACTCCGCTGGCCAGGCGATGCAGTGGTTCCCACCACATAAGACTGAGAGGAAAGAGTGTTCTTAGGTGTGACTGCTTGTGCTTAGACTTTGCAAAAAAAAAAAAACCACAAAAAAAGATTTAAAAGATATATATAAATATATGTAATTATTAATCACCTCTGTCCTTGAGAAAGTCTTGAATGAATAGAGAATTTATTCCACTGCAATATTTGATTGTATAGAGAGAGGCACACTCTTTCATCAACAGAAGAAGCAAGAAGGCTGTGTATAAGTTTTTGGTACTATGTACCACCTCTGTTATTCTTCTAGAGCTGAAGTATTCATGTACTTAAACCATATTCTATTTAATTGTGTTTGATTTTAAATATATATCTGAATTATATTTAAAATTGTGTCAACTTTCTGCTTTCAGGGCATTTATAGCTCTTATTAAAATTGTTGATTCTTCCAAATATTTCCATTTGCTTTACAAAAACCCAGAATATGAGCCACTACTGGACTTAGACCTAATGTTTTATGAGGTGTATGTTCTGTGACTAACTCATTTTGTTCTTTTAACAAAATATCTCCATCCGTTTCACTTTGCTTCAATCTTTAAATTAAAGAAAAGCAACATAAAGGTCATAGGATAAAGTGTGGTTTTAGGTGACTCTTGCTGCCTCTGCATGTTTTGGAGTAACAATTTCTGTGAAGCTCTAGGCTATTTAAATTAGTGCTTTTCATTAAGATACCATCTGATCAATTCTTTGTGTACATTTTGTGCTTCTGAGCTAAGGATGTTAGTAGTTGTAGGGTTCTTCTAGGAAGAATAGCAAGTTTGAGACTCGGTTACTTTGTCTGCCCCACCTGCCATGGGACAGAAGCAGAATGTGACCTGAAATATTTGCCAGATTTAATATGTGACCTAAAGTAGATCCTTGTACTTATCTTGATTACCCACTGTGTTTCAGACTGTGTGCAGTGCGCCCACAAAATGTGATTCCCGCCCCAGCCCGTTTGGCTCAGTAGGTAGAGCACCCGGGTTCGATTCCTGTCAAGGATGCGTACCTTGGTTGTAGGCTCCTCCCCGGCCCAGGCCCTGGTCAGGCTCGTGCAGGAGACAACCAATCTATGTGTTTCTATCACATCAATATTTCTCTCTATCTTTCCCTCTCTCCTCCACTCTCTAAAAATCAATGGAAAAATATCCTTGGGTGAGGATTTAAAAAAAAAGAAATGATTGCCTGGCAGGGTTTTTATAGGTTCAAGGAATTAGTTAAATATCCATCCTTATGTTGTTGAGATCAATGCATATTGTTAGGAAAATAGTTAGTGAGAAAGTGATAGCTTTTGCAACTTGATCTATCCTTATCACTCCTGAAAGATTTGATAAAAGTAAGAAGCAAATGTGAACCCAGTCCAGTGAAGAGCAATAAACAGGAAGCAATACTCTGTAGCTTTCTACTTGGCTTCAGTATTCAGTAGAGCTTTATGAAATGTAAGTAATTTACGGAACTGAAACTTTGACTAGTTCAGTAGGAATTTGGAGGGGAAGGTCACTGAATCGTAGAAAGTTACATACTTTGCTGTTTCATTGAAGTACTGATAGCTAAGCACCTGAAGTGGCTGACCTCACTCTAATGACTTCGTTTGGGGTGCCTGCCTGGCTCACCCGGACCCTGCCCTCACTCTGACAGGAGTGGGGACCATGTTCACATACACTGACCTTTCCCTCTCCTCTCCCACATAGCAGTCAATTGGACCAGGGTTGAACTCCTGATCCAAACATGCCCAAGAAAATTCTTTATCTTAAGAATTTTGCAGGGGGAATAAGGGATACCGGACACCATCTTAAAAGTTAGGTAGGACACTTTAGCCAGCACTGCATGGACAGGCAGAGCGGTTTAGAAGTAGAAATACAGAGAGAAAGGGGTCTGAAAAGCAGCTGCCCTGGGAGCCCTGAGGACTTGCTGGGGTCTGGATCCAGCTCGAGAGCCTTGCTGTGGACTCCATTAACCCCTCAGGCAGCCTGAGAATGAATTTTGGCTTTTTGAAATCAGTCTAAAGTGAGCTTTTGTTGCATGCACTCAGAAGGCCCTTGGTAAAATGCTGCCAGGCTGCTCTATGATTGTGTGTGCCAAGGACCACTGAGTTCTGGAGAATATGTCCTTAGTAAATCTTGGTCATTTTGTGTATTCTCTCCAAATGGAGTCCTAAACTAATAGAACTAAAAGACACTCCCTCTTTTGCAGGGACAAGCTCCTCGGGCCCAGGAAAAGGGCGAGTCCTTGCCCTGCTGTGGGATAGTCCCCATTAGCACTCAGGCCTTCCATATTTCCCAGCATCCTTCTGAAGGACAAACCATCGCCACTTTTAGCAACTGTAATAACCCCCACAAAGTAGAGGGCATTTCTATTGTGTAACTGATACAAACTTAAAATGGTGGAGGGCATAATTAGAAAATTTGTAAATGCTGATCAAGGTCTCTGGCCATTAGCTGAGTGGATGTAAATCCCAGCAAAACCCTTCAAGGTTGCAACTCAGACCCGCACTGACAGTCACTCTGTGAGCACTGTGGCACTGAGGAGGCCTCTGCGTAGGGAGGATTGGGGTTGGCTCCTAGTAGGAAGTTCGGTACGATGGCTTTGGGACATGTGGAAATGGCCATGGAGGGCATTGGAGGGACCAGTGGCAGCAAAGGTCTGGGGGCATTTATGTTCAGAGGCAGAAGCTATCTTGCCTGTCACACAGGGTGGTGTTTCTGCCTTCGTAATTTTGTGCAAACATCAAACCACCTAGTCAGGCACAGGCAGGGTGTTGGATCTCATCTGGAATAAACAAGCCCCTGCCTCAGGGTGATAATGCATCCACCCCACCTACCCCCCGACACCACCGGCACCTACAGGAGCACAGGCTGGGCAGCTGGGCCCTCTGGGGTGGGCACGATGCCTAGGAAGAGTGGGCTTAAGCTCAGCGTGAAGGGAGCCAGGATTTGCCAAGGAGCAAGCGCCAGGGTCCCTGTCTTGAATGTACCTTTGGGCTCACCCCTAAATGATTCCAAGCTGGCCTTTGCCTGCGTCACAGTAAGAGTCCCACATGCCGCTCACCTCGTGAAAAAGGCTCTAGCTGAGGAGCACCTGGGCCGCCAACTAACATGGGTGGCTCTGAGCAGGGCCGAGCCTCGTGGGCTCACCAGAGTCCCAGTGCTCCTCCCCGACCTGAGGTTTGGCAAAGAGTAACCTTTGTTCCTTTGGATGACAAAACCACTGGTTTAGCAAGTGCTCACGCTCTCAGAAGCATGTTAATGTCTACTAAGTGCCAGGCGTGGTGCAAGGACACAGGAAGCAGGAAAACCAACTCCCGGGCCACTTGGAGCTCCCATTCTACAGAGGAGATAAAAGTTGGAAGTTCCATCAAAAATGTGTGCTGGTATTTTTGACTCAAAATGACCTCTTGAGCCTGTTATTCAACACCCTGTCCTTCCAAAGTCCTCCTGGAAGTCATCAGGTTTTCCTAACCCTTAGGGAGACCTTCAAGGAGAGGGCTCCATCCTTCTGTGACCTCTGACCTCACCCTTTTTCAGCATCTGCCTTCCAGAGCCCCTCAGGACCCATTGCTGTGCCGCTCCGTTTGCTCACTCAAGACCAGACACTTGGTGCTAAGCCCTGGTTGACACTAAGAGGTGGCACCTTGCTGTCTGAGGCTGAATGGTGGCAAGTCTCTCTGCACAGGGTAAGGCTTAGAGGAGGCCACGGATCGTCTCAGCCCCGGGCTCTGCAGGGGTAGGGGACCTGTGGATTCTTAGGAACTACCAATAAGACCATTGAAGTTAGTCTCTGCATGTGATTCAAAGTCCTGGCCTTGGGGAAACATAGCTAGCTATTGAGCTAATGCCATGCGGTGATGGGCTCCTGAGCTCTACTGTAATGCTGACGATGATAACCAGCATAACAGTGCGTACTGTGTGTCAAGCACCATCTCACCTGACCCGTGTGGCAATATTCATGGTACTTTTCCCATGTTGTAAGTGAGGAGACAGGCTTAAGAGGTAAAGGCATTTCTCCAAGGTCTCCCAGCCAGGGATCAAGTCCGGTGGCAAGACCACCCTCTTCCCACTGCTCCGCTCTACTGCCAGCTGTTGGCTGTTCTCAAGTGCTGCTGGTTGGTACTCGCTAAAGACTAGTATAGCAGATGTCCGTGCTTAAGAAAAATTAGGGGGTTGTGGCTTTAAAATGAAACACATCCCCCTTTCCTTCTGGAAACCATCATAATTTTGTGTGTGTCTTAGAGTTTTTGTTTGTCTTGTTGTTCATTTGTTGCTTTCAGTTGTATATCTCACGAGTGAAATCATGGTTCTTGACTTTGTCTGACTTACTTGCTTAGCATGATGTTCTCAGGGTCCATCCATGTTGTCGCAAATGACTATTTCATCTTTTCTTATGGCTGAGGAGTGTTCCATTGTGTGTATGTGCCACATCTTTACCCAGTCCTCTATCGCAGGACACTTGCTTGTTTCCATTTCTTGGCCACCATGAATAATGCAGTGAACATAGGGTTGCATGTATCTTTAAGAATAAATGTTTTAAAGCTTTTCGGGAAATACCCAGAAGAGGGGTTGCTGAGTCATATAGTAACTCCAATCTTAATTTTTTGAGGAACCTCCATACTATTTTCCATAGTGGCTGTACCAGTTTACATTCCCACCATCAGTGAATGAGGGTTCCTTTTTCTCCACATCCTCTCCTTGTCTTGTTGATGATAGCCATTCTAACAGATGTGAGTATCTCGTTGTAGTTTTGATTTGCATTTCCCTAATAGTGCAGTTGATCATCTTTTCATATATCTGTTGACTACTTGTATGTCTTCTTGGGAGAAGTGTCTGTTCAGGTCCTCTGCCCATTTTTAATTGGATTATTTGTCTTTTTGGTGTGGAGTTGTTTGAGTTCTTTATATATTTTGGATATTAACCCCTGTTGGAGCTGTTTGCAAATATCTTCTCCCATTCGTTCAACTGCCTTTTTGTTTTTTGATGGTTTCTTTTGCTGGGCAGAAGCTTTTTAGTTTGAAATAGTCCCATTTATTTATTTTTGCTTTTATTTCCCTTGGCTTTGGGGTCAAATTCATAAAATCCTCTCTAAGACCAAAATCCCTAAGTTTAGTACCTATGTGAAGGGTGACGGGGGTCAGATAAAGGGTGAAGGAGATCTGGCTCTCGGTGGTGAGCACACAGTGCGGGACACAGATGACGCAGCATGGAATTACACACCGAAACCTGTGTAATCTCATTAACCAATGTTTCCCCAGTGTATTTAATTTCAAAAAATACAGTGTAAGCTCTTTCCACACACACACACACGCAAATTAACTCCATGTCATCCATTACCTTAAAGTCATTCTGAAACTTTCACAGGCATTGGGGCCCCTGGGGAACTTGTTCACGCCCAGGGTTTTAGCGGGACTTAGTCGGTCTGGGGTGGAGCCTGAGACTTTGAATTTTTAACAGATTCCCAGATGCCGCCCCTGTTGCTCCAGAGACCGCACTTGAGAATCACTGCCTTAAAGTCTCTGAATTGGGAAGTGAATATTTTCATTCCTTTTTATTGGAAAAGCCCAGGCTTTTCAGAAATGTAATTGGAGACCTGCTACTCATGATCCACTCAAACAAGCACATAAACCTTTATTAGTATTCAGATGCTTATCAAAGCCCAGAGCGCCCAGACACTCACACTGTCGTCGTCAGTGCGCAGGTCCGAGACCAGAGGCCAGTCCCAGCCCCACCGTCTTCAGCTCCCCAGCCCCAGTGCCTTTGCTGGAGACGGTGCAGGTGACATTCCTCCTGCTGAGACCAGGCTGTTGGGATCACACCCACAGTCCCAGGGGCACCTTTTCCTCAAATGCAGTCGGTCCATTTCCTTTCAGTTTCTCCCCCGGGGCCTTGATGCCAGTTGCCCTCTGAGGTCCTGGCCGTGCCTTTCTGACCTGTCTCCTGCTGTCCTTGCAAGTCCCTCACTTAGGCTGCTGGCACCTCCTTCTTCCTTTCTCCCTCTTCAGTTTTCCCTCCTCTCCTTCTTCAGCACATGTTTCCTGAGGCCTGTTTTGTGCCTGTTCTGCTGGCTGCGGATACAGCTGCAGACCCAGGACACACATGCCGCCCTCTCTCCTTGCAGTCTAGGAAGCAAATAATGACAACTCATCAGCTGCCAATTATGGGAGTGAGCAAGGAACCTGTTGGGGGGCGGGGGGCCTGCAAAGTCTAGGTGGACCCGCCTCCCCTTTTCTAATCCACAGTGTCTCCCCAGGACATCTGCATGTAGCTTTTCCCTCAAGATGGTGTAATTTTTTCCCAGTCCTAACATGGGCGGGCCACTCCTCCCCAACCAGACCAGGACTGTGTCTTAGTGTTGTCCGCGGCCACACACTCCTGGCCAGTGACTCTGGGTCCTTGCTCCCTCCTCCATCACTCCCTGGGGAGGCCGTCCTCTCGGCCACCTGCTTGCCTGCAGGACACCCCTCACTGCCTTTCTCCAAGTCCTTGATGTCCACTCCCACCTTTTGTCATGCCTTCCTTCTCACCCCAAAAAACCCGACCCAGAGCTCTTTCCTTTTCTGTTCCCAAAACACACTTTACTCACAGACACACCCATAACCAGGCGCGGTCCACTCCACAACTGCTCTACCTCTGGTTTCTCCTCTTATTTTAGCCCAGGCACGGTTAGCAGCTCCTCCTATCGCATGAGTTAAAGGAGGGGAGGCAAGGAATCTGGTAACTATTCCAGGGGATATTCCCTCATTATTATAAGAGTAAAGTTTTGTACACCAGCCTTTTAAAGAGCAATTTCAAAAGCAATAAGTGAGTACGTAGTTTGTTGTAAGGATCACAAACATGCACCTCCATGATCAGTTGGGGCGGGACTGTCCTAAGTCATGGCTTGGGTCAGACTTCCCAATGACACTGTCGTTCAAGTGTTTTAAAACGCTGCCTCCCAAGCAACTTAAACGCAGTGAGGGAGATGCGCTTCAGGACTGTGGCTCTAGATGATGATGAAGACATTGACACCTAAGATGCATGTAGAGAGCTTGAATAAAATTTTTACTTGAAATGTGAATGGAGGGAAAAAGCAATATTTTGTATTACTGTATTGTTGTATATAATGTTATTTTAAACATGCATGTGTAACTAAATAAATTAGGTATTATAACTAGACATCTGACTATTTTGTCAACATTCCTAAAAGTTTACTCAGATCGATACCTTAATTTTTTTTCATTTGCCTTAAGTATAGGATCACATATCATGAACAAACGCCCTGTTGCCTGCTAAATAAAGCCCACATTCCTTGTTTAGCATTTACAGCCCTGACTGACCTAGCATCCTAGATCTTGGGTCACTAGACCTTAAACTGCACCTCTCCCCACTCTTTCCTCAGGGCCACTCACACTTCAGAGCCCACAATTTATTTATTTATTTATTTATTTATTTTTTTATTGCTTAAA